GCAGGGGCTTGCGTTCGCGCTTGCCCCTAATAAATCATAACATAACAAGACTTAAAATTGAACAAAGTATGACAAAAATAATTTTGTTTAAATCGACAACAAGAATAAGGAAAAAAAATAAGGTATTTACCTCGAGCGCGAGACGAGTACATCTCGCAAAATACTAATCTAATGTAAAAAAAAAGTACCGTATCGGTAATAAAACAAACCCAAATTGACGTCTCAATTGACGTCTAACCCAAATATCTCAAAGCGCTTTTCGATTTACGTATCATTTTGTTATATTCATATTTTCATAAGATCTAATTCCTTTTAATACTTTTTTAATAATTTCCTTTTAAATATTTCTATTTCATTTACTTTTCATTATTTATATTATTGTAACTTAATTTTCTATATTAATTTTATTTTCAATATNTTCGAAATCAATTTCTTCGTAAGTCCAGAAGTTTTTTTTTCTTTCTGTATAATTGAGAAAATATCTCTTAAAAAGACATCGCAAAGAGTTTTTTTTTGTAATTATTACTTTATGATTACTGTGCTTTTTCAGTCATACTTACCTGTTGAGAAGAACATGCTTTGTAAGTTGAATTCACAAGCTAAGCTTATACAATTACAATACAATAATATCTACAAATTTACGATACAACAAACAGTCTCTGCTATCGATACCAGATGAATTAAAGCTTAATGATGTTGTCATCATTACAGAAGTTTACAGATAAATATTAAATTAGTTATTAGTAATTGAAGATGGATGATAGATAGACGATAATATTTTCTTTCTACTAAAGTATCTATTATCAAAGCTTTAAAGCAAAAAAAGAGAGAGATGACTTCGTTTTTAAAAGATCACTGTTATTAAAGACAAAAATAAAAATTCTTAGAAGAAACATCAGCAGAAAACTATCCTTGCCGCTGTTGACTTCACAGTCAAGACAGCAAACTACAACGGAACTTAATTCTGTTTCTTAACTGCCCCCTAAGGCAAATTCACCCAAAACTTCTTCTTTCAGAAAGCCGATAGAAATCCATTGCAATGCAAAGCCACCACCAGAGGCTTAAAGATCCTTAAACATCTTCTATTTATTTTCTAACATTTTAACATTTCTTTGTTTTATTTTTATAAAAAATTTAACTTAAAATTGTTAATTTTTTATTTTCTTTTGAATTCTAACGGGATAACACATTTCTTTTCCGTTTGATTTAATTACTGCTTAAGACAGGAACGATCAAAAAGCCGATAGATTTTCAGACCAATTAAAGAAAATTACAGTTTTCAGTCGACGGTAGACTTCCAATCATCATAATCAGAAGTGCCTTAAAAAGATTCAAATATACGTACGAAGTTTCGGAATAAAAAAAAAGTCTAATTGAATAATTGTATAACAAACTCAGTTGCGTAACTTCTTGAAGAAGTTTCGAAAACACTTGAACTTCGATTTCTTTTATTGTTAAATGCTTAAAGCAATCTAATTGATGAAGCCAAAACCTATTTACTAAAACTTCCTGAGGTCTGCGCTTGTAAAAAAAAAAGAATCTCTCAACAGCCTTAAGGATATTTTCGGAATAAAACAATCAATTATATTTTCAGCTTGATTAATTGCTTTAATTATGAACAAGTGGCAGTCTCGTTGCTTGCTTTGGAATCAGCTGAGGAAGCTCTTGAAGTATGTATAACAAATAACAACCAAACATTCGTATTTTTGAGTTGGATTGTCATTCCTTCTGCTTGTTCTCTTTTCATCGTTTTCTCTCTCTCTTAGATTATGATCGCATGATGAACGTTGAATCTTGAATATCAATTGAAGAAGTTGGCGTTTTGTGATTATTTTTCTTTCTTTCTTGAAAGCGCCTTGTAATTAATGCTCTAGAAAAGGAGGGAAAAGAAAAATTATAGTCGCAAGGCCGAAGGAAGAACTTCATATTTTTTATGAATGAAACTAAACATTTATATTCATCTACCGTACTGCTGGTCGAAGTCTTCGCCTCGGGATCTGAGAGTAATTAAAGCTCTTCATCGGTGCAAATTTGTTCTTTCGAATCGACTTCTAGTTTTGGCTGCTAATTGCAGATCACGAAAATAAACAGAGCAATAAAAATAACTTTCTTGATTATGATTGATTTCGTCTCGAATTTGTTGGATTTCATAAGAATTTTCTTATCAATAAATCATCGAAATATTTCTTTCGAAGAAATTTTTCTGTTTCCAATGAATTTGAAAAAATGTTTTAAACTTTAACTTCGGCTTCTTTCTAACATTCGTTTTCTTGCTTTCATTTACATATTCTCGTAATTTTTCAACTACATTAGACACATTAAGGGCAAGATTATTTCGCCTTTCTTACTTTTAATACAATAGTTTGTTTTCTATTTAATAAATTATTCAGTTGGAAAATGTACAAAACGAAAACATGTCCTGCTTCAGCTTTTACTTGAATCTGATTTAATATTTCACTTTGAGTGATTGATTGTAGGCGTAAGAGCTCCATCCTATTTTTGGAAAATGAATGCTTTGAGTGAAGGTGTGACAAGTTTTCATGTATAAAAAGGAAATTGTAGGAATTTTATGATTTAGAAGTTGTTTTCATGTTGAGAATATTTATTTTGTAACTGCTCAGATTGCAATATTTTTTGAGTTGGGGACGTTGGAAGATCCAAAGATAAGAATTTTAATTATTTTTTTTAACAAGAAGAGCTTAAAAGATTTTTTTTAATAAAAGAACATTTTTTATTCTTTTAGTCACTGACGATGACCGAAAGTAAACTTTATTAGAAACTTTAAACTAATTAAAATGTTTCTGCTGTTTCGTAACTCATCGAAAGTAATGACTTGCTTGATTCTTGTGGCTTTTTATTTTTTATTTTAGTT